CCCCAAAACCCCAAAACCCCAAAACCCCAAAACCCCAAAACCCCTCTAATTTTGCTAATGATTGAGGATAAATAAAGAAATTATTTCAAGTAAAATTAAAATTAACTCGAAAATATGAAGACCCAGAAAATGGATGACAGGAGTTGAGATCTTTCACAAAATAATTCTATAAGGTTAGAAGGAGCCTCAGAGGCTATGGGATATGATACTCGCCCCTTTTCAAGAAGCTCCAAGAACAAATTCACGATGAGAAATGCTTTAAAGTCTGCACAGAGTACTAATCAAGGTATGAGTGAAAGAGAGACGATTTCAGAAGCAAAACTTCAGAGAGAGATTGAAACGCTTGAGAAACAAGTATATTCTATTTTTAATCTTTAGGCAAAGAGAAGAGAGGCAGAATTCTCCAAAATTAAGGCTGTTCTAGAGCAAAAGCTTGAGTTGAAAGACCTCCAGCTAGCAGACATCAAAGATAATATGGAAAAACAGAAAGAAATGTACAACTCAATGCTGAAGGCTCTTCAAAATAAGTCTGAGAACTTGACATATGAGAAACAGCTGCAGTCGATCCAGGAAATGCAGAGAAAACAGGACAGTGAAGTCCAGAAGATCAGGACAAAGTATGAGAAGCAAATCACTGATCTTAAAGAAAGAATAAACCTGCAAGAATTTAATGAGAAGTCCCTCAAGGACCAACTCAAGCAGGAGAAGAACAACCACCAGCATGAACTACAGGAAAAAGAGAAGGAGATTAGTGAAATAGACCTGAAAATGCAGAAGACTGTACTTGAAAAAGACAAAATTTGAGAAAAATTACGTGAGCAAATCGAAAATATGGAAGAAAAACACTTAAGATTCATTAAGGACATGGAAGGCAATACTAACTATGATGTAGAGAGGCTCACTCTTGATTACCAATCCAAGCTGAGTGATGTAAAGTACCTCAAAGACCAAGAGATCCTCTCACTAAAGAGCCAGATAAGAAAACTTGAGGAAGAAATCATGGTTCTGAGAGAGCAAGATCGGTCCTTCGAATCGATTAGAAGTTCTGAGTATGCAACTGGGAAGGGAAAATCCAGCAGCTTCGGAACTAGGCTTTCCCAGCTCAATGAAAAATTTGCAGATGATATGCTGGCTACTGAAAAAGAAGTTGCCTCACTTCGAAGAGAGAATAGTGAAAAGAAGTCTACAATTGATACCTTACATCTCTCCATTGAGAAGATTAAAGACCAGTATGGTACAAGGCTGGAGGAGCGAGAACAGAAATATTCGAAGTTAAAAAGGAAATATAGTGATAAGTGAGATGAACTTTCGAAAGCCCAGAAGATTATCAAAGATTCCCTCAATTTGAAGAAGAGGATCTCTGACCTGAAGATGACTAACGCCAAGCTTGAGAGAACCAAGAGAGACCTAAAAGATGCTCTTAAAAACAAGCAAAATGAACTCGAAGCTGAAAAGGCTTTTAAGCAAAAAGCTATTTATGAAGAGAGGAGAAAGAATAAAGAGAAAAATGAGAAAATGTCCCAGATGAAGAGGGAGATGAACCTCCAGAACCTTGAAATTGAAGGTCTTAAGAGAGACCATCGTAACGGAAGTATGGTGAATGATTCGAAGATTCATTCACCTTGACGCTTGAGAAGAAAAAGGAGTCATGAAAAGTCATTCTTGGCAATCGATCCAGAAACTGCCGCTACAACAAAGAGGAATTTAGATTCGAGTCAATATATGAATGATAGTACAGCATACTCGAAGAACACTCGTAGGCTGAAGAGTTCTTCTCCAAGTAGGACTCAACTACTTTTTGCGGCTTCCAAGATAAAAGTTGAAGAGTTAGGCAAAACGGGAAATTCGAAAAAGAGAATGCCCATGTCGGATGAAAAGACAAATACTTATGATGATAGCCACCTACATTGTCACGCTGCAGGAAAATATTGTGAAGCATGCAAATACAAGAAATGGAGAATCCTGCAGCTGAATTATGACCCTGATAAGTTGATGAACAACAGGGACATGATCAAGTACATTGTCTGTCTGGGATGTAGCAAATCACTTGAGGTCAAACCTTTCTTGAAGCATTGTAGGGACTGCAGGCTCTCCAACCATGTTCCTAATATAGATGGCCAGAAATACTGGAAGAAGGGTGAGTTGAATTCTTCATCCCGTGGGGCTTCTGAGCGTTCGAGGAACAGAATCAGTAGTTCAAAGTCTAAGCTAAGACAATGTTATAGTACAAAAGGAATCAAGGAGGAGGTTATTTCTCCTACTACTGAAGATTCAAGACTTGGCAACTGTAGAAGCCAATCTAAGCTCAAGGTACCTGAGAGTAGTAAGGATAAACCGAAAGTAGTCCTATGTGATTTGGCAGATGAAATGGCAGAATTCCATACCAGGAGCCAAACAAAGCATAAAGTGAGGACCTCGAAAGGAAACTCTACTATGATGCTCAAGAATTCTTCACCAGTAGAGACTCTAGAAGATGCTGAGCATGATAGATCTTTTAATTATAAGGTTTATGGGACGATTCCTAAAGGTGTCTCCAAAACCGAAGCTCAGATACTACGGGAAGAAATATCAAATATGAAGTCTGACTATGCTCAGGTTATGAATAAAATGAATCAGATGAACCGCAAGCAAGAAAAGCGAACAAAATGTAAAAGAGAAATCGACAACGCTCTTAAGAAGGAGCTTCATAAGCTGCATTCAAGACTCGAGCCCGTCGACTTTCCTCTGTTCGAGTTGGAACTAGAAGAAAAATCTCATCTGGTTACAGGCAACTTTGATTACCTCGAAAGTATCAGTGAAGCTAAACGTCTATCTGACTCTATGAATAGTAGTAGCGGACACTTCACAAGAGAAGGTAGTGGGAACATGAAGTATAGATAAACATTTCATGGTTTATTTGTCAAAGACTTGTTAACTTACGCCTCCATTTTATGGCAGGCCTTAACTTTTCAATAGTTTAAGCTGAAATTGGGGTTTTGGGGTTTTGGGGTTTTGGGG